TCTTTTTTAATAAATCTGCAAAAATGTCAACAATTCTGTGTTTTTCTGTCAATATGGGGTGCTGTGTGTACATTGAGGAAACAAAATTAACTTAATTTTAGCAAATGGCTGCAATATAACAAAGAGTGAAAAATTTAAGGGGGTCTGAATACTTTCCGTACCCACTGTATTTACATGCATAATTATTCAGGTGCACGTGTAATAACTTGCGAAAACTTGAGGCTGCAGCAGCACTTCTTCGTCGTCGTCTCGTCTGATGCGCTCACTCAACCAAGCTTTCTCACCGCTTTGTGATATCACAAAACTCGGAAAACCAGCGCTGTAGTCCAAACGAGCCGTTTGCTGTAGTTCTTGAAAAGGGATTTTTAAAAAACGAAATATCTCCCTTTGGAGTGGACTTTGAGATTTGTAAGGTTGAAGATCTTTTTTATGCCCAAACATACACGCTGACTAAAATTCAAAAAGTGAAAAAGCATAATAGGACCCCTTTAAACAATAATAGGGCCCTATAAAATGTTTTTCTTAATTTTTCTGGTAATCAAATGAAGGCATAAAACATTAATTAAAGTTTTCCTAATCAAAAGAAAAGAAATTCTTTCCATTTTTGGCAAGTGCTGCACAACAGAGGTGTACTGTTAAAATTAAAAAGAAAACAAATGTGATTTTTTCTTTTAAAAATAACGTTTTATTAATATTTATTAGTAGTAGTAATAGTATGGTTGTTAAATTGAGTATCAAGACTGCACAATATATTTCTGTCAGTTTCTTCACGTTAAACCAAACTTATATTTTGACGGGTTGCCGTGAAGAACTTGCAGCTGCTGTGAATGTGATAATGACGGTAGTTTTCTCAAATTAAATGGTAAAATGCTAATGAAGTAATTCTCAGAGCAGCTGGAGATGATATTCATGTGTTCATATCGTCGTATAGTGAGATGGCAGAGACTGAAAACAGCACTTTAGTATGTGTGTAGTAAACAATACCGTGCGTCTGAGACATCCACCATTCATTCATTCATTGCTGAAATCATAGTGTCTTATGCGTGATGTCTAATGCTTCCGAAGATTTGTAGTATTACTATAGCATTTCACCGGAGCATTGCAAATCTTTATTCTTAAGATTTGCTTTGTTCTTAGTTCGTCAACCGTATCTCCGCCATGATGAGCACTGAATGAATGACAGGCTTTCCCTTGTAACATCATGCAAGGTAAATAAGAGGGTGACATCTAGTGGAGAAGACTAATGATAAGATTCACGTTAATCAGATCTTGTTAAATGTTTGCTGAAATAAATACCGGAAAAAAAGATTCACGGCTTTTGAGAGACTTCATTTTTAAAAAC